AAATAAAGTTACCTGAGAAACTACTGTGAAAATAAAGTTACCTGATCTTTTTTGGAACGCTTTGTTGGCCTTCCTCTCCCTTTCTTTTTCCTTTTCTTTCTTTCACTTCTCTTGATTTCATATGACTGCTCCATTTCTGAATACAATAGAATCTGGTTAAGTCTTCGTAGGTCTATGTCAGTTCTAGTAACAACTGCTTATCTTACCATGTCTAGTTTGAGGAGGAACAAGACCAAGTCTAGCCATGAACTTGATTTTCTAAATAGTCAACATATACATTTGAATTAAACATATTGATGTGAAAAGTAAGGTGAGCAAGGCATAGATAACTTCACACCAAAACCACAGCACATCACAACCACTACACCAAAGAATGGCTCAAAATAAGAACTGATTGGATTCGAATGAACTCTTAAAACACAAATTAAACACTTCACCACAATATATAATTCACTTTTTAACACAACCATACATAACAAACACACCACATCCATCCATATGATAATTACCTCAGTGAGTTGYTGATGTGATGCTTCAGTATCTGTACTAGTTGTACCACTGTCAACATCAGTCGTGCCGTCACTACTTGTTCCTTCATTGTCTTCTCTTTGTCCAACACTATCAGTGCTTGTTTTTTCTTCTTGGGACACACTTACTGGTGATTCCTCAAATTTTCTCTTGACAATCGGTTCTCCATGYGTTAATTCTACAATAATGAAATGCAATGGTCATTATCTTATCTAGTTATAGGAAAAAAGGATGAACAAGAAGAAGAGAAGTGGAAGGGTGAAGAAATGGCAGGGAAAAAGARGGGAAAAGATGCAAATAAATAGGAAGGAAGAAAGGCAGGAGGAAGAGAAAGAGCAAGTACATGATAAAAAAGAAGGTAGATTAACAATAAAAAAAGATTGAAAAATAAAGACAACTAATTTCTATTGACATCAAACATTAAGGAGCAGAACAAGATGAAAATCTACCTTTCTTTTTCTCCAGWGTTACCAGACCTAGGCCTTCCAAAAACCTAAGTTTGTCTTTATCATGGTATTTAATCCTGATTGGCTGGTCTGTATCGATACCTTCTTTTTTCAGCTGGGATTTCAGTTCTTCAGTAAATTTGGTAGCCAAGTTAGGCTGATGCATTTCTAAGTTGAAAATATTATACTTAAATTAATAAAGGTGCTTTTCAAGACAACTATCTTTAAATCCAAATATAAAATCAAATTCATGTGAATATTTTATAGTTAGAATATTCACAAAACACTAACCTACTACTCGCAAGTCTCCATTWATGAATGTTGGTCGTGTCTGTGCGCTCCACCTGGAGTCTGATAACAATCTGTCAGACACTGATGAACCAGGTGCTCTGCTATCACGATGGAATGGRTACGGGTCTGCGAATGGCGCATAGTGAGGATCGTGTAAGCTAAAAGGGTGGAGATGATGACTTCTACCATCTTTAATGGCTTCCATAGCACTTCTCGGTATATCCCCCTCCTTTCTGTGGTATTCAGGAAATGGATGTCTTCCCCTTATGTCATGTGGGATTGGATGGAAGGCAGGATGGAAGGGATAGTGTCGGTACATTTCATTTTCATGAGGGTGGTCGGGTTTAAGTCTTTCATTGGAGTGTGGACTCTGATGAAAACAATGGATTTAATATTATTATCAGTGAGTGTACAGACACATCTAAAATGTTAGCTTACAGAATGTTGAATAATTAACAGGATCTATGCATCCCAGCTTCTCTTTTCCATTTATTTTGTAAATATATACCATAATTCAAGGAGTAAATTCTTCCATTTATTTTTTATGTCATGCATATTTTCCTTTTCAYTCATCCATTKTCTTTCTCTTTCCATTCAATATCTATTCTTTTACCTTATCACTTCTTTCTCTGTGATCAACAAGTCTTTGATCAGCCCTCCTGTGATCATGTGCTGACTGATCCCCTCTTCTACCAGGCTGTTCTAGCTCTCTTTGCTGTTGTAAAATCTGATGTCGATACTGGACCATTTCTCTCTGGTGTTCTTCCTTCTCTTGRCGAAGGCGCTGTTGACGACGTTGCCATTCCTCTTCRCGTGCTTTCATGTGCTCCCTTGGRTCCATAACCATTCTTTGATGCATCATGATCTCCTGAATGACGTGAACGACAATCATTAGAATTACATCAATCATGAAACACCTACTAATAAATGAAATCTTGAATCATTAGCAGTTTTTCATCAGCACTATGTCAATCATTTTATGGTAGATCCCTAACCTGTCTTTCTCTTTCTCTAAACAGTTCAGCCTGTCTTTCTCCAAGATGATGAGGTCCAAACGGTCCATCTCTTGATGAATGCACYARGTAGGGATGTAACATGGCTGCTCCATCAGGGTGGGGTGGAAGGAACATCCTGTTAAACTCTTCTGGTCTGTCAGGYTTTGGAGGGTCCGTTCTACCAGGAGGGTGCTTATGGTGTGTTTCACCAGGAGAATGGCCATGTACAGGACAAGATGGAGGTTTATTTTCATTGTAGTAAAATAGTCTGTGTCCATGTGGACCATGTTCATGAGTCTCATTTGTGTTTCCTTCTTTTACCTTCTCCTTGTCAGAAGGGTTTGTTTGTGGTGTGGTATGGTCGGACCGCGAAGGAAGAGGTACATCCTAATGTAAAATAATGATAAAAATTACTAAAAAAATTTGTCAATTCAAATTTACTTTATCAAAAATAGTAAATAATGAAAAAGTAAACATATTGAATCCCAAATGAGAAAATTGACATATTGACGTGCTGTTATACATAAACATAAAATACTTAAGGCTTAATTATGAGCTGAAGTCTGCTTAATCTATTTGACTACAACAATCAAAGCAATACCTGATCAAAATTAGAATTCTCCTTTGATACCTGTGAATTCTAAATGAGAATTCATATTTCCATCAGAGGTCACTCTTAAGATTATAATTTTCCAATACTACTTGAACTTTTAAAATTATATTAAAATACCCTCTACYGTATCCTGATTTGAAATAGCATATATACCCAAGTCTCCAATCTAGTCCCAGACTGTTTTCCCATGCCCAAAACAAAGGGAAGAAGGGCTTGGGAATGAGTCTCAAAGATATAGCACATGAGAGTACCTGTCTTTCTTGTTGTTGTCTCAAATGCTCAACAGCTCTCTGCTGTCTCCAAGTTTCAAAATGAAGGTCAGGGGAGTCAAGCATCTGCCAAGCAGAATAAAACTCAGGTTAAACTTGRAAATACCATATTTWAWAGGATTAAGGCRGCTAAATACGAGAAACAAAAACCCTCAACTTGGCGCGAAACATTGTTTCTGTTCAAGTTGAGCATCGGTGTTTCTCGTTTTTCACGATGTATTTTTTGTTGTATAACAAGTTGACGATACATGAAAAACGAGAAACTTTGACACTCAACTTTAACAGAAACAATGTTGAGCACCAAGTTGATGGTTTTTGTATCTCGTATTTAGCCGCCTTTACATCAGAGTTGTGCAAGACACAGTGTGTACAACTAGAGAGATGACAACAGAAGACAGCTACTGAAACAAGTACCTTGAYAAGAACACTTAGTATTTGCTTTGCATGGTTTCTTTGTTTTTATATTTTTTTGTTTTTTTTTCAATTTGTTTGTTTATTGTTGGGAATGGCATACCAGCACATAATTTAAGCATTTCTTTTATTATGGAGACATAGAAAATGCTAATAAATGTTTATAATTATAAACCATCATTCTGCAATAGMAACTCTGTAAATTTACAAAATACAAAAGAATAAGACATACTGGTGGTGGATATCCTCCTGGGAAGAACGGACCAACTGCATGTGGATCTGCCCCATCCCTCTTGGAGCCCAGAAGAGGCGGTGGACCAGGCATAGGACCAGCCCTTGGAATAAAMAGAGAGACTTCAGGCCTGACACCATGAAGATAGTARGGGACTACTGTTGGATGGCCATGGTCGCTGTTGTAGTGTTCAGACAACATTGTTTGTTCTGGAGGGTCTGGAAAAGAAAGCAWTATAGYTCTGTTAATAARTATTTCCCACTGGATTTGTGAATTATCACAGAGCCCACATACATGWACAATTTAAGGAATCTTAGGTTTGATAAACCAATTTGTYASTAATMACCAAACAGCTGTTCTCTCTTAGATGTTATATCAATTAACATTTGTTGGGAATTTCTTTCRAAYTCAGTTGTCTGARCTCAATGAGATCTCTAATGAAACTATAGTCTACAGCAGTAGCATAGAATTTCAATTTCACTTTCTACAATGAATATTCTATCCAATCTACATGCAGATGACATACCATCATTGTTAAGGTTTTTGTGATAATAAGAAATTATAAATAGAATAATAATCTAGTTGAATAATAGCATACAAAGTGTTGCAATATTAACTTTTATCTGCTAGATATTGATTGATATCAACAATAGTATTATAAATTCTAGTTTTGAGGCAATTTTCAACGTCTGACATGATGTTTCTAGTTTCTAGTTGTGAGATGTTCGCCTTACTTCAATATAATTACAATAAAAATGCTTATGATATATGATAGCTAAAAAAGTCTCAATTAGAACAAAGACAAAATAGTTTGGTAAATATATTAATTAATACTTCCTATCACAAGAGACCTACTGTCAYTCTGTTTGCTTCAAGGTGTTTTGTTTGAGGTTTTATATTTGAGTTTCCATTCATTGTATGCAAAGAAAGTACAATCAAACACTATCCATTAACTGCTGAATAAGGATCTGTGTTTTTTAATATTTTTTTGCTTACTAGAAAACTTATAAATAGCTAATCAATTGGGCATTGCAGAGGAATTGATGGTGAATCTCACTTCCTGTTGWTTTTAAAATAACCACTTAAAAAAAGATGCACTGCTAGAGATTGAAGTCTATGAATACTATAACTATATACATTCAGCTTTTTCACTATTAGTCGACGATATCTCAGATAATGAACAATAAATGATGACAAAATATATCAAAACTTGATACAGCATAATACACTAGAAAATGGAGTATTACATATTCATCAAATAAAATGAGAAAATGTTACATGTATGTGGTTTTTGTATAACAATTGAAGATATTTTAGAAGATGGGAGGAGAATATTCTGGGCAGAATTTTCTAAACAATCATTGAGATAGCAGTTAACTTATATGATTACAAAACATAACTATGATAGTTGGACTGATGGCAATGAATTGGAACACAAAAAGTTGAAAATCTGTGAAATTGGTTGATATTAATAAAAATAGCTATTTGATTTGATAAAACCATTTTAAAAACTGAAATATTGGTTTACACAAGGCTGACTACTGTCAGCAATGTTATGACTGAGTGGCAGCTTGGTCTAGTTCATTATTCTATTGACTACAAGCACAAACATCTTTGAGAAAAAAAATGTGTCCTTAAATGCCACTTAGTTTGGCATAAAGCTGAAACTTTMGCCTTTGAATAAATAATTTTGGGCACTGAAATAGAGAATCACCAATTTGGCTAAATAATCTAAGCCCATTGACACCTTGCGCTTGGAAAGATTATAATTAATAAAGCCTAAAGAGTTTCACAAGCACCAGAACATTTATGTGGTATTATGCACTACAAAGGCTGTTTAGAAAGATAAATGAGACAAGATAGGAAACATTTGATGACCTTATTCTAACTAATCCTTGAGTAAATTGAACAAGTATACAAAGATCTGAATATGATATGATAATATAGCAGTGCAAAACCCAATATTACAGAAAGCTGTCATTTTACTACTGATGAAAAAGATCTGAATGTTTACCTTGAATTGTAGGGCTTTTTTAAAATGAGGTAGCATAAATCCACATGATGATTTTGACAGWATTCGTTCATTATGTACAGTATAAGCTCCAGCGTTTACATGAATTGGCCAGTATAACATATGCTACCTGCTATTGTCACGGTTAATAATCATCAAATACAAAAAAAATCTGATTCCTTTTCTTATTACCCTTCCAAGTGGAAAATCTAGATGCAGGTAGAGAAAAGTGTAGTAATCAAAATTAGTCTCAAGAGATTCCAAAAACACTTGTGTTGAATGATTGTGTGGATTTTTGCTGTCTTAAATAAAAACAACAGGAAGCAGTACTTGAACCAAAAAGCTAACATCCACTGCCTAATGGTCACACACAAATTAACATGATCAATTTTGATCAGAGATTCATCTCTGTTTGATAAAACTTATGATCAGAGAGAAATTATACTTTTGCCACTTGAGATTCTTTGAAAATTGACTTCTAAATCCTATCAGCCAGGCTTGAAAATCCACAAAAGTTCAGTGATCTGATTAATTATTCATTACCCTTGAAACCATCCAACCATGAATTAATTTTGAGGAAGATTTCAACAGCATTAAGCAAGCTGAATGCCCTACATTTGAAGCATAATGAAGCAAATACTAGTAAACAGCAAACCTAAAATACATATGCTRAATGTAAAGRAAAAAAAACGAAGCYAAKAGTCACAAATGTCAAGGCAATAAGCTTAGCATTTTTAGCTTTGAATAATTGCTGAATAGAAACACATTATGATGACTTACATGAAACAGTTTGCCAACTAGCTAAGTAGTGATGAGAATTATTATCCAAGACATAACAGATAGGCATCACAATTGTAAAACCACTATGATGACAAGATAGTGTAACAATGTATGTTCATATTTAGTTGTCATCTCACACAACATGTTCACTGTATATACTAGAGAAAGGAGAGTCACCTACATTCAGAACAGGTGGCTTGGGCCTCAAATTAATGTAAACAAGGTTAAAAAGTGCATAGGTTATTACTCAAGCCAATTTTAGACTAATAAATCAGCTATATATCRAGAACCACAAGGCAAAGGTACATTTTATATCAAACACTGGATATTTACAAAACATACACAACGAGAAACATTACAAACTACTAACTCAAGAATGTAAAGCTAAATCAAAACAAACTTAGCTCGTTGCGTGTTTCTTAGTATSTAGCATGAGTACCTCATGAGTACCTCATGCCAGGCAAGAGTAACCATACTCATATTTAGGTCAACACTATCGTAATTAGTGTTTCTGAAAGCCTACATGTAAATAGAGACAATAGGAACCTATGATTTCATTTCCTGTGGGACCAAAACTTACATTAAATTATTGTCGCAAATTCAAAACATTTAGAATTAAGTACTCTGGTAAAATACTTACATCTGGGTCTTGTTGAAAAAACACCAGGCAGAACCTCATGTCCTTTTGATTGACCAGTCATTTCTGACTGATCCCTAGATCCTATCCTGTGGGGACCCCTAGAAGGAACTCTATTTGTTTCACCTGTTGATAAAATAGCACCAAAGATAGACTTGAGTAGGGGTAGGGTGAAATGTTTTGGGTAGTCTGTCAGTGTGTGAATTTCTGAGCTTTTTCCACATGGGAAGTCAAGAGAATGAGACATTGTGATTTGCATAGTCTACTGATCTTGACCTCTTCAGATATGCTAATTGAATAATAAAAGCACTTGTTGCTTAAAAGTTAAATAACTTATTTAAAATGCTTAAAATTAAACTATAATCGTATAATCATCAAGCAAAAGTAGAAAATAAAGAAATTAATTCATTAATGAACAAATAAAAATAAAGGAATAAAAACGTAAATAGACTCTGCGACACTTTATACATTTAGATAGAAAAATACATTTATAGATATATAACAGAGCGCAAGCCCTATAGCCACTTTTGTACCATTTACTGTAGTAGCACAAGCTGGTTGGCATCCCTCAGCCTTAGCAGTGTAAACAACAAAGGCAACATTCTAGTTATCTTTGAGTAATTTCTTTGTTTTGTTTATGCCTGAGTGAATAGGCTCATGAGTCATTGATAATTCAATAGAGTGCTCAGCTTTCATTTGACCGTGAAAKATTAATGAGAATAATAGTACTCTGAATCTAATGTTTGAAACTTTTATTCTTTAATAACAAACACTAAAATAATATTAAAATTAATAATAATTTTATTTAGCAGTCAAATAAAAACATTTGGTTCAGTGCTAAWAAGTAATATATGACTTGCAATCTATTTTATAAATACACAAAACAGTTTACTTACTTGTACTGGAGTTATCAGACTCTAGCGCTGGGATGGGAGGTATCACTGGAGTAGCAATACTTGAAAGCTCTCTTTCTGAATTATGACTGGCTGGTCTTTCTTTGCTTGTAACATCYCCACGGGGAGGAGGTGGAGTCTGTGTTGTAGCTGGAGAATTTCTTGAGGGTGACACACCTACAAATAATTTGTAGAATTCAAAAAAGCATGAAAATAGGGGTAAAACTAGGCAAAGTAAATAGAAAACAAATTGAAATATAGATCAGTTTTTAATAATAAACAACAACAGCAGCAGGGCAAAAGTCAACTTATAACACAAAGAAACATAACTACAGTGACCACATAGTTACTGGACATACAGTTAAACAAACTTGTGTACCTATGTATATCAATTGGGCAGCTGATGATACAGCATTTAGTGAAGTAAGCTTCCTGGTACTTTAAACAGCCCTTATAATTTCCATTACAGTCTAGTAACATACCTGTGCTTCTAGAGCTTGTATGTGATACTGTAGGTGATGCAGGCTGAGAACCACTTGGAGAAGAAGTAGCTGGAGAAGACGTTCCTGGAGGCATGGCTTGCTTTGCTAGTTTCCTCAATGCTGCAGCAAAGCTTCTACTTGTGGACGGTTGCTGCATACCAGGGGAGCTAGAGATGGGATGGTCTTTGCTAGGAGGCTGTGGGTTAACTCCAGGGGAAACTGACGCTGTGTAGTGCATGGATGGAGCATGTGCATGACGGTGTCCAGGTCTCAGAGGTCTGTGCTTGTTGTTTGCTACAGAATGGCTATCATCTTCACTGTCATCAGAGTCAATCACTATTACTTTTTTGTTGAAGTCTGCTCCTGGATTGCTGGTGTGTGCTTGCTTGGACTGAAACAAAAAGAATTGTTTTGAAATATTTTATTTACACTCAATGATGTTGCTTGCAACATCTATAGACATCTTGCAATCAACCAAACAGATTTTGTTTCAAACAGTTACTATTAGTAACCAAATACAGCAGGAAGAATTTCTTAACAATTTCCTGACTTAATCTAGATATTCAACTACATTGTAAATTAAAAATTTTACAGATTTATGCCTATAAATTAATCATTATCAAACAGTTCTTGTACTTAAAGCTGCCTTTGACTGTTCTCATACTTCTAATACTCATCAAATGAGTTTTCATTGTGAGAAAAAAAAGACTATAATTTGGGCATTGATGAAATCTAGATTTTCGTACAGGGAAGCAATTATGAGGTTGTACTCTAACTTACACTTGTTGTAAACAGGTTAAGCAGGTTAGAAAAACAAGTTTAAATTATGACTTCACTAATATGATAAATACTTTGGTATCATCACGTGCTTTTAATAAAAACTAACATAATCTACAAAAATGAAATATGGTTATAATTTGAGTAACATTATTTTTGAAGTTGAGTCTTTATCTTTATTCTTAATTGCATGAAGTAATTGGATGGTGTTTAAATACAGTTCAAATTAACACGCTGGATTTTTGTAAACTATCCTCTGATATTTCACAAAACCATTAACCTACTTGAAGTGAAGAGATGTCAACTTTTTTTAATTTTTTAACTTTATCAAGCAATGTCTTGGACTTAGTTATCAACAACAAGACCCAAAATAAAAATAATATTGGATATCTCAATAAAATGTGTACTTAAAAAACAAAAAAAAAATCATTGAATTCATTCATTACATAAATGAAAATATAAAAAACACCAGTCTGAAAATCTTTTAGAAGGCTGGTCAAGGGGAAATAAAAGTGTTTTGAAGAAGTCAGTGACAAATCATTGTTGTCAAATGCATGAGTCATTTTAAATCTCAACTTGACAGAATTTTAAACAGCAATGTTGTGTAATCCTGTCTTGCTCATTGAAGAAGCTAGACTACACAAAATGAACAATTCACTTAAATGCAGTTTGTAAAGATCAACAAACATTAGCAAGTTATTGAAATTTCATTTAAGAATGTAATAATAAGAATACTGAATGCATTATGTTGTATTTGCAAAGCTGGCCAGTCGAGTGTTCACGTCACATTTCATTATTATCAGTAAACTTAAGCAGTACCTTTGCCATGATGAATAATCACATGAAAAAACTGGCACATTTTGTGTAATAATTTCTTGGCAAACAGAAGTTTTTAAATGTAAATTCAAATTCAAATGCCCTAAGGGTGAAGATAATACAACACACTAGCTAGAACATTAATTTTTTGCAACACAAACAAAGATAAAATAGAAAATATTGTTTTGTAAGAAACAAAACAGTGGACTCCACTTCCTTGAAAAGTCAAATAAAGGGAATTCCCTAAAAGGTACGTGTAAAGTTCAAATGTTTGAATCAGAATTAGAAAGGCTAAATGAAATTTGCATTATGCTAATTGAGAGTTTGAAGACAAAGGTGATACTTCTCCAGCACATTTTCCAGGGTAAAATGTTGAATTGCCTTTTTACATCCATTAAATAGTTTTTCAGCCACAAAGATGAAAGATTTATGATTGAAATCCTCACTATTAGGCAATGAAATCACAGTAAAAGAAGGAAAATCTTCTCTCAATAAAGCAAACAATCAGACTAGAACATCATTAAAATTGCATCAACTAGTCTGTGAGAAACATAACAGTTTTTAATCACAACACATTACTTTTGGCTTTTATCTACAACCACCACTTCCCAATAATGCCCATTTAAAGTTTATTTCTTCTTTGAGTAATACAAAACAGACTTAAAATGTAGAATTTTAGAGATTAGAGAACGCTTTAGTCAAATACAAAACATTAACAATGGACTCACATGTGTTGGTAACCTGAAAAGGGTTTCACTGCAAACGTATCTCTATATCTCTACTAGACCATCTGGAAAGCACTCAAGTGGTTAAGAATTCTTGGTAAAAGTGTTTGTATTTAGAGTACAAAACTTTATCAGAATTTCAAATCAATCTACAGTAATTTGGGAAAATTTCTCTACATCATGGCCTTGTTGTCAAGCACTGGGCCATTCATAAATGAATATGTGTATCTTTGTAAGATAATACTTCTCCTCTGGATTTGATAATATTTGGAAAAAACATCTTGTAAAAAGAGATTAATTTTCTTACATGGAAACTAAATCAAAAATAAAACTCAAATGGCCTTTAGATTTCTAATTCAACATTATACCTGTCATAGGTTTCTTTTAAGAATATAAAAACATGTGTGACTTGAGAATGACTTGTTTCGAAAAAGGCATGTGGACGTTAGTTTAATAAAAGAAATTCATGTACTACACTAACCTTAATAGAGAAGAAGTCCTGTACTGTTTGAAGCTAAAAAGGAATAGTCTCCTATGTTTTGAATCAATAAACTAAGAACCCAGTTTCCTTAAGAGAATGCTGGAGCAAGTGTTGAACTTGAAGTCTAATGTTAATCATATTCAAAGAGGGTCTAATTTATGCTGATATAATTGTCTCCTGTACCAAACCAGAGGCATCATTTCTAGCTAAACTAATTAGCATAGTGAAACATCTGCACCTTGTCAACAAGAGACAAAAGCAACACAACATTCTAGTACAATGATTCAGCCATGATAATCAGATGCAAGCAGGGCAATGGCAGGTAACAGATCTGTTTTTAAGATTTTCTTTGTTTGGCGTAAGCAGGACTCAACTCACCTTGCCAAACTAACTCCCAGGGGAAATGAATCCTTTGTCAGAACTTCAACCTAAAGTCATGCTATCACAAACACGTCTTTTGAAGGCACCAAAAGGTTTTTTTCTCAAGCTTTACTGCTCTTCTCCACTCAATAGCTCAGGCTTTATGATCCAATACTCAGCTCATTAATTATTTATTACTAGTTGTCTTTATTTAGCAAGTCAGTCAGCCTGTGCTAAAAGTGGATTGGCTAAATCTCTAATCACGTAGGAGTTAGAAAAGAGATAAATCAGATGTGTTTAACAAGAGAAATGATCATTAACTGCAAGGTTAAAGCCATGCTTCGCCTAAACTCTGCTATTCATACAACCACCTGTATAGCCTTTCTTCTATTCTTATGCAAATTATTCACAACCCACTAGTGCTTGCTCAACCGTCACGAGAATGGTTTTGAATAATTAGTTTGTCATAATATAAAGTTCAGTGGACTACAGTAGTTTAAAGAGGTACCCTTCTGTGAGGTTCAAAGAGAAACTCAGCCACAAGGAGAGTGAGAAACTATAGTAATGTAAGTGAAATGCCTTTGAAGTCATGGAGTTCTCTGGGTTTTGTTTCTAAAAATCACTTCACCACAAGTTGTTCTAAACCTGAATTAAGCAAGCTTTGATTCAATATCATTTTAGATTTAAAATAACAGCAAACTTAGCTCAGTAAAGCCATGTGAACTCATTAGATTAAGATGACCAATATTTTGTAAAAGAATGAGCAAAAAAAAATCAAAAAGTGGCATTGTTTTTTTCTTTACAAATACGTGTGAATTAAGTGATTATTTATGTAAAGCAGCCATTCACATCTTTGTGAATCTATTAGCTTGTAATTAACCTTTTTTTAAATACTAAATGCAAGAAAAAGAAGGCTTAACCATAACTCAATCTAAGATGGATATAGAAACATTTTCTTTTCAGAAAACCAAATCTGCACAATATATAAAAAGACCAATTTGACTGCATCACAAATTTTTCTGTTAAATAATTTGATTATATCATATATTTTAAAATATTATATGCATTATTTTTTGATACATGGATCGTTTCACCAAAAGCAATGACACAACATTGTTTTGTAAATACTGATGCTGTTAGAATATAATAAATATTGTAAACAAGACCATTCAGAAAGTCAAGAAGTTTTAAAATAAAAAGATATTAAAAACAATTTATTGTTATAATATTTAATTTAGAACATGCTTCATATTTTGTCTCTATTTGATTTTAATGTTTGTTTTTTTTTAGCTTATTTGATATCAATTTATAGTTATATATACATTAGTTAACTATAAACACTCTTCTACAAATTGAATGCCCAATTTGATCATGATAAAAAACCTCAAATTGCATTATCACCAACATTATATGGTATTAAGTTTCAACTGAGTTATTGTCTATTTTAAATCTCCACACATCTGCTCATAATATGTCTAGATCACATGAAAGGTTCTTACATAATTATCATTTGATATAAACGCATCAGCTTCAAAGAACAATCTGTAATGAGTAACATTCCTGCAGTTACCTATTGTTGCTAAGCCAACCAGAAATTAAAATATCATAATATTAAAGGCTTGAACTCTGATATCCCAAAATCATTAATTAATAATACTAAAACTACTCAATATGATAATAATAATATTAGTAATAACAATAGTAATAATACAATATCTAAAATACTAAATAATACTTTAAAGATAACTGATATTTTATCTATTAGATATTTACCAAATATAAATTGTTTCAGTCTTTCCTTTGTTTTGATATATTTCCAGCAATGATTGTGAAATTTAGAGCCAAAATCATATTGAACATTCAATATTTGTATTCATCCTGCAACCTTTCCTTGTGACAATGAGGTTAACCTGTGACTTAGTTGCCATGGGAACCTCTTCCTGTACTTTGCCTTAGTCTTACTCATTGGTAAGATCACCTCACATGTGACAAAGTACCATCAATATAATATAGAAAAGAATGTTTGCCATGTAGCAAAATGGTTCATTGATGTCAAAGAGTCAAGGAGATAGTTGTAAAGTAAAATTTTCTAGACTGCTTAACTTGTTTACTTGTTCTTTATGCTTGACTTTTAACTTTTGACTGATTTTTATTTTTATTTTTTTCAGTCATTGCATAACATCATTTTCAGTCATTGCATAACATCCAACCATAAGTCTGCGACTACATGTATTATTGAAAAATAAAGAAGTCTTTTGTAGCAAACATTAATTAACACATTTTTAGACATAATCATTGACAGACAAATAGTTTTCTGAAAAATTATTTTCTTATTTCTCAATATTATTTATGATGCAATACCTTAGAAGGTCAATCTATTGCATGACATTATTCCATACTTGATTTAGATATTTAGTATTATCAAGATTTATGTTAAAAAGATTATTTAATCCATACCTCATTTGATAAGCCATAATCTGGTCTGCAACCTGTACTGGATTGGATTCGCATGTCACTGTTTGATGGTGTATAATTTTTGACAGCCTTTCTATAGCAACGGCTACAAACTACAGCATTTTGGCCTTTATCCAATACAATACTTTGCTGTGGGGGGTAGGATAGGTACTTTTGAGTTAATAATGATTTACTAACAGTTTGACAGTCATGTCTTGGAGTGCACAAACCACAGCTATAGCATATGACATGTTCAATACGGTAGTATCGTAGCCACCTATTTGATTCCTCGGGGACACTAGAGTTCTCATAATCATTCCATTGCAGCATCAAGTTTTTGAAGCATATTTCACAGGTTTGCACAGTTCCAGAGGATATCGGTGCAGCATTTGGTTTTGGTTCACGTGATGCAAGAAATGGGAAGAAAGAGCCGCCATCTTGTATTCCTTCTCCACTATGTGGACATGAAAACAACTTATGGTTCATGCCCGAGTTGCTATCACACTTGATTCCACAAAGATAACATGTATAGCTGTATGTTTTCAGCTTAATTTTATTACTGCCATCAACTGCGTAAATACGTCTGTGCTGTGGCACTCTTTCTTGTTCATATTTCTCCCATTTTTTATGAAGTGACTTATAACATTCCTTGCAAACTATTGTCTGTCCAATGTGATCTAGCTTGCGGCAACCTGCTGGTGCCTTCAAAAGGGCTACAAATGGAAAATATAAACTTTCTTTTAAAGGGTTGGTATTTTCTCTGGTATAAATTGGCCTCGTTGCAGACTCATGGCATGATGTACTACATATGTAGCACACTACCCTAGGAGGATTTAGTTGAGATGATTGTTGAGGAAGATTAGCTTGTATGCTTGGCATAAGTGATGATGATGATGATGTTGCAATTTTTCCTAATATTGGTAACCCATCATTACGGATTCTATACTCTCGTTTATCTTCTGGTATGTGCCTGGCCTCAAAATCCTTCCATTGGCGATGGAGTGACTTACGGCAACCACTACATGCTCTTGTCAATCCTTGCTTAGTAAGTGGCATGGCTCCAGCAGGAGGTGTTAGTTTACTAAGAAAAGGATAATATGGGTCACCAGATGATTGTCTGGAGGAATACAGGAATCGCCCAGATGTGGCTGGCTGTGTAACACCACAGATGAAACATACCATCGTTGATAGCTGCGACTGTTGTTCCCGTGGGAGGGAGGGGTCAGACCGTAACTGATACTGTCTCTCTCCAAGAGGGGTATTATTCTTTTGAAAGACCTGCCACTGGCGAAATAAAAACTTTTGACAAGCTTCACAGACCAGCACTTTTCCGAAAAAATCCATCTTTTTGCTAAACAGTGCGGGACTGTGTTTAGAAAGACATGGATAAAACGGAGTTTCGGTTTTGAGTTGGGGTCTGGTGTGCACGCTTCGCATGAATTCTTTTGGTTTTTGACGACTACAAACAAAACAGAATTCTAAAGTTGACTCTCTTTTGTTGTCAGAAAAGACAATTGACTCAACATCATCGTTTGAAGACGGAAGATCGTTGGCGAGTTTGTCTCTATGATCTTCGAGACGAGTTGGAACGTCTTCTGTGTCTTTATTTTTTAGTGGATCGATCTTCACTTTCGAGTGTTTTTCGTCCCTTGTTTTCTTTTGAAAGTCACATCCACGATCATCATCGTTATCGAAGGCTTCAAATATATCATGTCCGGGTCTTTTAAGCCAGTAGATTCGTTTAACCAAAGGAGTTTCTTTTTCCTCGAAGGCCCTCCATTGTTGTGTCAGGAAAGAAAAACATACAGCACAAACATTAACTTTTCCTTTTTCATTCTCCATCGGCCGAGCATTGGCTGAGGCTTCGTGGTACTCCAGGAAAGGAAAGAAAGGAGTTTTAAATGAGTTATCTTGCGGCTTGGAATAGACATTCCACTTTGGATTGGAGGCTCCGCAAATATAACAACCCTCGCGACCATCTTCCTCTATAGCCTTAAACTTCACCATCAAAGAAAATCCGTCCTTCTTGTCATCAGAGACGGAGCTCATGGAAAACTTGAACAGCCAGGCTGCTTGATATTGCCTTATAAATAGGCCTGCATTACATTCTGCTGGGGAAAGATACGAAAATCAAAGATGCTACTCTATGTATCATTCGTACAATGCTTGCAAGGTCGGCGGGATCACGATCACAAACTAATATCCCGACACACCACGGGCGCCTTAGGACTGAACTGGACTGACGGAGGGCCGGAACTTTTGCGCTAAAAAGCGCATTACACCAAATTCAGAGCTTTCCCTAAAGGTGCCGGATTACAATTAATCATTTCAAAAACTGTTTAAGCTAGAGATATCTCCTGGTAACGGGGAACTAGAGGTAAACATTTGAACTATCAAAACGGTTTTTTATTTGACACCTGGGTGAATTATAGGACAAACAAAACAAATTCCTAGCTGTGAGAAGTGTGTCCATGCTAACAAACAAAAGAGCGAAAAAACGAATCCTTAAACGCACCCTTTCTTATAAAAGTCTCAGCAATTGTGAATATATCTCTGTACCTTTGATACTGAAATAGGTTTTTGGGGTATTTTATTGTAATTCCATATTGTGTATCTGATGCCGAGAATTTGTATTTATTGAAGACTTTGATTCAATTCGTAGGATTTCTTGGATGTGTAACATTATCATTTTACATATTTGTTAACCTAAAAAACGAGTACGATAGTTGTTGATATTAGGAAGATAACATGTCCAACCCAAAAAAATAGTTTTTGGTTTAGCTTTTTGTGACTATATTGTTCAAGAAACAAAGCTTAATAATTTCCTAATGGCGGAAATGTTTAACTGCTATATAAAAAGCGAATACAGCTTCATAATTAAATGCGTGTCACTAACGCCACCTGCGAGCTTGTTTACCTTTGCTAATACACCAAAATCACCTCGATAGCAGTGGATTCCAGGGACTAGTTGTGATCCCCCTTAACTTGCAACAAAGTAACGTCCAGGGATTTTACAAGAATTAGGAATAATGGAGTTTTCAGTCTGACACGTGTTGCAGATAAAAGGTCTCAGATCGAATTCAGACAGTCTATTCATGTAAAAATCTATTTGAATACAAATAGACACGAGTCCCGAATCGATTACAATAAAAAGTCAAGGACACGCGCCTTACTCATTAAAGTCAATTGAGGCTCACGCCGTACACCAGGTGTTGGCCTCAGACAAAGAGAACTCGTTGGGGGAGGGGTCAGTCATGATTGACCTTCAGCCTTTTAAGGAAGCTGCATTTTAAATACAGCTGACGTTTTTTGAAAACATATAACAAATTGTGTAAATAGAGATGGGCCAACTGATCACGTAAGCTCAAAATGATTTTCTTTTATCAAATAAGAATCTATTTTTTATGATCGGTAAAATATTGACTATGTTTAGTATCGGAGAATCTGATAGGAACTGATAGAGGGAACTTCTTAGTTAAGAAACCCGACAAACTTCAAAAGGGGCGACGCCTTTCTTGAGTCAGAATATCACGTGTATGTACAATAGCGCTATGTTTCATAATTCGGTGAAGTCCCAATTTAAACTTGCGATTTTTGCAAAACTAATTGTCGCGACGATCGTCGCACGACCTTCGCTAGCTGCAACCTCGGGGCGATTTTCCCCGCAAAAATCGCAGGGCTGTTTACACGTAAGACATGAGTGTCGCGACATCAAAGTAGCGATTGTCGAGCGACAATCGAGCTGCAAACTCTCGCAAGTGTAAACGGGCCTCGAGAAGTGCGCAATTTTATTTTACAGTGAAATTCGTGAAATGAATTCAAAACCATAATGAGAACCTCACCGATTTATACATACATATACTCTATTATGAAGAAAGATTGAGCACACTTGATAGTACTAGCGATAGGTGTGTGGTTGGTATATAGATTGATCAAACGATCGTGAAAGAATTGATTGATGTGTTACGATTGCTAAAAAACGGGATGGCTGCAAATTAAATTGATGTGAAATGTCTGATAATAGTGCGCGATGGTTGGGTAAATGGTTGGATAAAAAATGACAATTCAAAATAAGCAATTAAAATCTATGAGTAAATGGATTTCTTCCCCCGCAATAGTAACTTAATATGTAAAAATATGATTTGGTTCTCCATTGACACCTGAAGCATACGGTCGCATTTTTTTTGTGCAGAATATAGGCTTCACTACACACACGCACTTAAAAACAAACAAAAAATATCAACAAAAAGACACAAGCAAAGAAGAACAATTAAATAAATGATAATTCTATAAATGAATATCAATCATGCCTGGAACACAATAGCGCAGTAAAACGGCTATTTTAGTTCCGTTTCGACTTATGGTATAGGAACAGGTGTCACCGTAAAAGAAATTAATCTACAACGCGCTTGATTTCTGCTGAGATGTATAGCCGGCCTCTCAGTTTCAGAAATTTCGTAGGTGCGTGCGTGTACAGGCCCGTAATCAGGGGGAAGCACTGTGTGCACGCCCCCTCCCTGAAAAGCTGACAACTACTAATAAAAAAGGACAGTAATGGTCTGGTTTTATCAGATGTGCGGTAAAAGTTCTGGTTACGGCTCTGGTGTAAATGATCGGTTTTTTGTGTTTTTTTTTTCGGGCTGGGGGGGGGGGGAATAATTAGCAAGCTTTAGAATTCCTCGTTTTTATGTGTGCTCTTGGGGTATTTTTGAAAGTGCTCACAAACCTGGGAAATCGCCAAAATAACCTGCACAATGAAACATCGCGTTATCAAACGTGCCAGTTATCTCCAAAAGACTCATTCAAACAACCAATTTTAGTGGCTTTATTTAGATTTAGACTAACAGAACGCACTGGACTGGATTTCGATGATGAGCCTCGTGCTTTTTTAGTTGTTAGCATTGGTTCTGGACGAAGTCGGTTGTCTTGGTTATGACGTCACATCAAAACATTTTATTATTTTAACGCTAAGGATTATGGTCGCCAGAGGGAGACCTCATATCAAATAAAATGTATATAAGCAAAGAACGATTCATTGAGGTTGTACTTTAGAGGACAATGTAAATGGGTCAAAATTTCAACTGAATTTGAATATCGTTTTCCGATGTAAATATACTGTGATGTCATAATGAAACAGGGTAATCTCTTGTCCAAGCCCCGCGGTTATTTTACAAAAAAACCATCTCAGCCATATATTTATATGAATAGCTTTTAAAATGCATCCAGCGAAGCCTATAGCTAGCCATATCAAATCAATCACTGCGCTAATATAGAGGATATTACATGGGCGCGCGGAGATACGGATTATATCTTCGAGTGTTGAAAAGATCTCTCACGAGTGATGAGCGTAGCGAACACAAGAAGATAAAATTCGTATCTCCAAGCGACTATGTAATATTCTGTTTATCATATAATTACATATGGAAGCAAATTCTATCGAAAAATACCTTTTTTCTTACTTCCACTATATATATAGAAACCTGATCGAATGTGTTTTTTCACTAGTGAAAATATCAACTTTACGTAATGGAGAAAAATAGGATGATAGAAAATATATATTCCATGGCAAAATTCTATACATTTAAAGTAACCTAAACACAATGTGGTTCATGTTTGTTATTAAAAGATGCTAAATTCCCAAGTGACACAATTTTTTTGTTTTCCATCTATAAATGTCCCACGCCTCTCAACCAATAGCAGCGCCAACCAATGTTACCTTTTGTTGGGGGTGTCTTGTGTAGTCATCTTGAACACTGGCATCCTGAAGCAAACAGGAAGGACCAAAAAAATGCTTTCAAAGGTAGTTTTCCTTGCCAAGGCAATCGTTTTAGCTATTCTCTTCCTCATTGCAAAGCTAGCTGTCACTTTTGGCATCTTGGWTAACTTTTGGGAGAGTTTGTTTAACCGATTTGATAGCATACGACATGCAAAAATGAAAAAACGCAACTACTGGGACACTCTCTTTGGATATCAAATGTACTACAGTACTGTATACACGTTGTATGTTGACATACAGAAAGAAGCACGACTAGGGCAACAGGCACCCAATTCAATGATAGTCACTATGAAAGGCGTTACCTGTAAGTTACTAGATTGCCATAATCATGAACGCCCTCTCGTGGTGGTTTTTGGGTCGTGTACTTGTCCTCCGTTCGTAGCCTCCTTACTCAAACTAGTYGAAGTTGAGAAAAAATTTGGATGCATGGCGGATTTTGTTCTTGTTTATATCGAGGAGGCGCATGCCGAGGATGGGTGGAAATTTAAGGTATGATTATGATGTATATTGAACTATAGTTTAAAAGGAAGAAACAACAGGGGAAAATGTGCGCATGATATGGGATAAGGACCTGGTATTAGCATTAGCTGTTTAACCTATCACTTGTTGAACTCCCCGGCCGCGGTGTCTCTCTTTATTATAAATGGTATTTTGACCGGTCAATGCTTCATCGATCCAAAGTGAGCAACGGCTAAAAAGTCAACCGCCTTCTATCTATCTTCTATACTTGGACTTCAAACAATTAGTTGTTCTCATATTCTTGTAGGTTTTGAATCTTTTTGTCATCCTTTTCTAGAACTTTCATAATTTATATTTCTAAAGCGTGCCAGAAAACGTTTCATATCCAAAGATGGTAGAAAACGCGGCTTCGGGACAGTTAATAAAGAACAAGTCCTAGAATCAAGATTCGATATGAAATTGATTTTTGATTTGATGAAAGAATTGCGCGATTGTTGTGTAGTGTATACAATTCTCGGATTAATTGCATTAACTTACAAATCCACTCAAATTAGTTTTACAAGTTGTAAAAAAAAAATTAAAACTTGTCATGATCAAAGACGATCGAATACTGCAGGTATAAGTAGCAAAGAATTGCTATAAAGCAAAAGCAATTACTATAAACCATTAATATTGTTGCTAACAAAGCCACTTTACTGGTTTAATGTTAACTTTAAATCAATCTATAAGCAAGAAGAATACGAGCATGCGCACAGACTGGACGTCATTTAGTGTCGAAACAGCAAGTCGTACAGACGTCCGTATAGTATTACTGATAAATATGTAAGATCCAAGCAAAATTTTCGCCTTAATTACATTCCAATATAGCTAAATGAAATACCTCTATTCAAATGCCTTTTTTATTGGTTCAATAATGTCCAGCTCTTTTGTTTTGCAATTTTCGTTTCAGAGTAAAAAAACAATCATTTAGTTCTATATATAAGTAAACTGCATCGAGCGTCGTATTTTTTTTGAGAACCGAACCATTTATAGAAAGAATGTTAAATTTAGAAAACTAAAATACAAGCTACAAATTTATCTTTTCAAGTCTCTGTTATTGTATATGTACGTGTATGGATAATAAGAAACCAAGAAAGGTTTGAAAAGATCGCGTTAATCTCATGACACAATGCCAAGTTATGTCCACCTATAATATCGCTTTGTGCAAAGGAAGWTTTGAGAAGTTTTCTAATGGGCTGAATTCATTAGTTGCACGGAATGATTTCTTGACATTGGCATTGCTGTTTTATGTTACGATGTTACCTGGAACTCCACAAAGTCTGGAGATATTTCAGTATCATCATTGTAATGCTAGTATACAACGGTCCGGACCGCTGAGCACAGAGCTCACTTCATTTGTTACCATYAGTAAGAAAGAAGAGTCTTACCAAGGAGGGGTGGGTGGGGGCGTTCTTGTAAGATAATGATGTAATAATTGTGTTTGATTTTCTTGATATTAGGAGAACTACAAGGTATTGCAGCACAAGACTTTGCACGACCGCATTGAAGCTGCCAAGATTCTAAAGTGCTACATACCTAAGACTATGGCTATTTACGTGGATTCGATGTCCAACACAGCAAATCTCGCTTATGGAGCGCAGCCTGAGCGACTCTACATCATCGATAAGGAGAAGGTGGTCTACGAAGGAGGGATAGGACCGTTTTATTACGATGTCGATGAGGTAAAAGACTGGCTAAACGCTTATCAGTGTCAACAAGAGCAATCCACTCAACAAAATCACGTGATGTGCTACCAATCACAAATCCTCTGAGTTCTATATCCTGATGAATGTAGTTAGGCTATGATAACACAAGAACTGATCTTTTTCAAAAGGATATCGGACAAGTTCTGAATCTTTCGTTGTATTGGTTGGTTTGGCTATATAAGTGTGAGGTATACTAAATAAAGCCACGCCCACCGATGAACGTATACAACCAACATATTATTATATCATTTAGCTGCCTGATGTTGTCCTTGTGGTAAAAACTACTGCTTATCTGTATTCTAACGATACATTGAGCTCAATAAAACTGAAGTYACCCATCTACAACGACACAACGAATCTTTCTACTTTTATGAGTTTTTCTTGATTAGTGGATGGATATGGTTGTCGCGTATAAAATATTTAATGTGACAACTATTGATTGTTGATAATGATAATTGATTGCATTGTGAAATTGTACAAAAATTAAATAAAACTTCACGACTTCAATGTGTTCAGTCTACTACTTGTGAATTATACTTGAAAATTGTRTTTTTTACATAGATTTCCCTGCAGTTTGTGAAGTTTTAGTCCATTTTCACAGTGACTTTGTACTTGTTGAATCAAATCAATAGTTAAGAATTAGTTTTGCGCCTTCTTTAAAGCCGGTAACCGCACATGCAGTACCTATGCGAAACACTGCGTCGAAAGCAAGGAGAACTGTAAGCTAGCTACAGTTTCGTTATGCCACACCCATTTCAACCATCAATGTTAATATTCATGGAAGAGTTTGCATTTAARACAGCGTAAAAAACTGTGGATACTGATCTGTGAAGAKKAATATGGTCGATAGGCGGAAATCCARRAAGTGCAAAAAATGTCTCATGCACTATATAAGACCTTATATTCTATCAATGGTGCACGATGGTCGTTCAAAATTCGGTCAGTAATGTAGTAGAGTCTTCAAAAGGTGGACTGTATGCCACGCATGACAATCCAGTCTTGATCTTGTCGTTCTCCCCTGTCGTTCCTATCTCGGCCCACTTTCCCGTAGAGTTAGGGTCAAACCATTCAACACTCTGMAGTCGTCTTCCTCCAAGGCAGACTATCTTTCCYTCGTGGACAGTGGCACAGAAGTCTTCACGTGCGTAGTTCATGTGCTCCTTGGGCGCATCCCACGTGTTTGTCTTCAAATCGAACGTTTCAACTGTCACGTAACTCGTGACATTGTCACGTCCACCCATGGCAAAGATCTTGTCTTCCCAAATCACGCAACACAGTCGACAACGAGGAATTCTCATAGAAGGTAGGGTAGTCCACTCACCGGTCTCTAGRGACAGACTTTCTACCTCTGATAAGGCCTGACCCTGCTCAATGCTGAACCCTCCAAGAACGTACAGTACGTTGGAGTGGCCTACAACACCTGAGATAAGAAAGTAGCTCAACTTTGAGCAAACGCGCAAATAAATCATAGTCAATTCACTCTATGGACGGTTGTTAGCAGTTTGGAATAAGGGGTTGCAATTACTATAATTTCGTTATTTGTGGTGCGCAGCAGATCTTGGTCTTGTGTTGGTAAAAAGACATATCCAACTCTTTTAGGTCTACATGCATTTGCTATGGGCTTTCAAATCCACATCGACAATAGAATGACCGAATTATGATCACAAATGGTCAGTGACGTCACTACTTACCAGGTCCTCTCCTTCCAGTTGACATGGGTGGTAAGTTKGACCATGTTCTTTCGTTGACATTAAAACTCTTTACTGCCGTACCTTCTCTCCCTCCAACGACAAATATTGAGTCCATSCCACCGCAGACMCCAGCATCTTTAATCGTTGTCCCTTTATAAAAATAATTAAAACATATTTGGAAACATATTTAAAAATCAGACTAGGAATGGTGTGATCACATGTACACAGGGAATCCACTATAGACTCAGCAACCTCACCTTCACCAAAATATTCCCAGTCAAAAGTAAATTGATTCCAACGCAACACACTTCGAGAGGACACCAAGAACAAGTACTTKTCCACTCGTACGGCGTATCGYACTTCGCCTCCTTCTTTGCGAKGAATCYTCAGCTGTGGACAAGGTACAAATGTATTCTGAACCTCGTCAAACCGGTCAACCTCGTTACTACCAGATGAAAACAGGTATATGACGTCACGGATGTGTTCACGACGATCATTTGCCCAAATGTCGAGTTGTTCAGGAGACTCTGTTTGAAGAGCTTGAGCAGATTTGATTTTATCTTTACACAGACCGAGAGAATCGACSAGTTGAGGCTTGATGTCCTGCAGAAACTTGGGTGACATGCGTATGAACTGAACGCTTTGTAAAATGTTTTGCAATGTTGATTTCCTGGAAAATAAGATAAACATTCCCAATTATCAAGCAAGCAAGCAAGCAAAGGCAAGCAAGCAAGCAAGCAAGCAAGCAAGCAAGCAAGCAAGCAAGCAAGCAAGCAAGCAAGCAAAGGCAAGCAACGCCGTCACAAACAACTAACCTGCTAGCGGGCTTGTGCTCATACCACTTCATAATAGCATTGTACAGTGTCTCTTCACCTTCGACTCTCACTCCCTTACCACAGACCAGCCTATGGAACTGGGTGCTTTTCAGTCTGACGAATTCCTTGGTTGATGTAAGGTCGTAGAAGTTCCATTCCAGGAACTTGAAGATTTTGTCCGCAAGCCAATCCGTTTGTAGTTCATTGKCGAGTGCGAGGTAACGGGAAAAGTTGGATATACTAAGGATACGTGTGATGAACTGGCAACATGCTTCAAGTACTTCCTGGAGCTAAAAAATAAGTGTCTTAAAAAATAAGTGTTTATATGTCCGGAACCCTGTCAGAGTGTTTCGTTATATTTCAAAGTTTCTTTACCGCTGGGCATAGTATACAGTCGACGTGGCACTTGGATTTTTCACGTCTCTGGACAGACCTCCCGGACAGAATGTCACGAAAAACTAGATGTCCGGGAGTCAAAAAATATTAACAATGTAAATCTAGTCTAATTAAAGATACTTTACTGTGTTAAGGTTCAGGTAGTCTTCCTTTTGACCAAATTTCGTTACATTTCAAAGCTTCATCACCGCTCGGCATAGTATACAGTCTACGTGGCACACAATTTTTCACGTCTCTGGACAAACCTCCCGGACAGAATGTCACGAAAAACTAGATGTCCGGGAGTCAAAATAATTTACTAAAATCACGGGAGAATGTAAATCCAGTCTAATAAAAAAATAGTAAAGTATTTTTTATTAGACTAGATTTACATTCTCCCGTGATTTTTTAATTTTTCTTTTTTTGACTCCTGGACATCTAGTTTTTCTTGACACTCTGTCATGAAATAAATTAATAATTTAATATGATAATTTTCATAATTTGTACCTAATGTTTAACGGCAACGTTCTCAACAATTTCTTTAACGCAAAAATAAAGAAAAAAAGCAGAAAAGAACAATAAAGTCGATTTACTCCATGATGCGTATTGATCTCGCTACCGCCAGATTAGAAAGCAGGTCCCTTAACGCGGTGCGCCACTGGACCACACTCATTTACATAATAATAGACCACTTGACACTTTCACCGAATAGACTACCCCAATTTKACATTATATTTTCGATAGTTGCCTAGTTAGTGCAAGGGGTTATCCATCAGWGTCTAGGGGCCGGATAGCTTCTCCCTCACTGGCTTTTTAGTTAGCGCGAAGTTAGGACCAATTATCGGGATAGCATTGAAGAGCCGAAATCTCTAACCGTAATGTAAGTCGATTCGACGCCTCAGCTTCACAGAATGTCTCGGGGGAATCGTCCCATATCTTTTTCGATTTGTTTGGCATGGGTTCGAGTCCCAGTATGGTCGCAATTCTTTTATTTTATTGCTCTATCTAAATGTTTTCTTCTTTTTTCTTTTATCTCTTYTTTTTTATTGTTTGATAACAGAAGTATAGCGGCAAAATCTAACAGTAATCAGAATCACTGGAAATAACATTAATAGACCTTTATACCATACATACAGCTGAATTTGAAACATTTTCCTGACAATTTTATTACGTTCATTTCAATTATTGATTCAAATATATCAAAATGCATCGTTTTTTCGGTGTTTTTCACATTTTAGAACATTGAATATATATATCTGAATATTTCATCAAAACCATCAAAGTAGTAACACTAGGTATCCCATAGTTTCTTGTTATAATTGAAACTTATAGAATTCAAGATGGCGGCCTCACTGGTAAAAATGTCTCTCAGTGATCAACGATAATGATTGTGACAATTATTAACAGTAATGATTATGRTGACATTGATGGACATACTTTGGATGATATGGTAAAATAAGACGTCGCACTTTGCGTGTGTGAGCGTGATACTATGAACGAACCCCCAACTGATCGATATGAGTAAGTCGAAATAGATTTCCTTAAATGGAGAATATTGAATGTACATGGGACTTAATTAACGAGACAAACAACAGTACATACGTCAATACATTTCAAAATTCAACGTCATGATACGACTTTTGAAAAACATTGAGAAATGATAGGGCGGGACTTTAATGTCTGATATTTTACTTAGAATATTAATTCTTATTTTTGCAGTCAAAACATGTTTACATGAAAAGTTCAATACAATGGTAAAAATTTTGTTTCTTTACTCAACCTAACCTAATGCGAACCATGAGAAATACTGCCTTCATATTCCTGGGTTCACACGTCACTTTCGATTTTTGAATTGAATGACACTGGATCGATATATTGATAAAATTATTGAAACACCCAATATTCCAAAGTCTCATAGAGGAAAGGTTAAGAGCGTTTCAACGTAGGGGTGTTAAAACATTTAATCAAAGATTCTCGGCCGACAATTGTTATGAAACAGGTAATAATTACGGGCATTAATTAGTGAGTCAACCACCACAATGTGGATATTTGGATTATGTACAACGCCCTGTAACATCATTACACTCAAAAAAGATTATAAACAATKTAGTACTTTGCGAATTTCATTTACTATAGCGAATAGCTGCTCATGTAATTGGTTGCTCTGATAATATTGAAAGAAAAAGAAAATAAAGATAGAATAATAAAAGATTTCAAAAACATTTTTACTGACCTCTAGCAAAACACTAATACGCAGAAAGTTGTCTACATTATCAGTCGTGATTTCCAATTCTTTGTCGTACAGGTACTTGATGATGCATTCAATACTTTCAAGGTCAAACGCTTTTGAAAACTTGAACTCTTTTACATCTTTGTCCATGGTGAACAACTTATTGAAATACGGCGATTTTAAAGCAAGAACAAGTCTGTGAGCATCACTYTTGTACATGCTTGCCTCTGAACTGATGGCGACGTCGCAGAGATCTCCAGTTATTCGCAAGTCTTGGAGTTTTTTTGCCAGTTCGGTGGACATCACTGTTGAGGAATATAMCCTGTTATGGTATTTGGGTTGTTTTGTTGGGTTCTGTGAAGGTACAATGGTTAACTTTTTGTGCGAAGTCATCTTGGCAGTGTAGAATTTGTATAGTTTTAGATTGAACTTTCACTTCAAAGCAATACTAAGCAAGGGAGTTAACAATGCGAATGAATTTTCACTGTCTCGCTTTGTAAGATCATGTGAATTATTAATAATCAATTCAAGTAATCACTTAAACTACGTAAGTACTGTACCCCTTGTGATACACCTTTTTAAACACCAGTAACATTGACGTTCTTACGATGTTATATCGTGAAACTGACACACCAGTAATGCATCTTTCCTCAAGATAATTCAGTCAGATTTCCAAAAAAGGAAAAGTGTGTCGTCCTTGGTTTTCAGGCAGCGTAAAGAAAACGTTAATTAACGCATATCTTGAACATTCAGCCGAAAACACATTATGAAAAGATGGGGGAAATGGCTCAAAAACATGAAAAAGAAAGAAACTTTCGCGTTACTTCAAACTTTAACAAAAAAAGTCTTAGGACGCTATGAAATTTTCCTACCATATTATATTGTCAAAAGTTATACCACCAAACAGTTTATTTATGATTTATTAAATCATTTTTTTCGAAATACAGTCATTATTCGCGCTATAACAAACAGAATGTTTCACTGTGATCTTAAGGTTCGTTTCTATTAGTAAGGTTTTTCTTAGCATTGTTCGTTATTGGCAGGTGCACAGGATATTACAATATCATAGTCAATTACCCCTAACGGGTCTATTTGTATTCTGATTAAAGCAATTAACTTTCGACTAGAACACCAAAATAGTAGTTATATTCGAGAACAATTTATTAAGATGACAAACGCACAAAAATGGTTTTTCCGACTCCCAMACTGTTTGCACACAAAACATATCAAGATATTTAGTTGAGATAAAAGTCTCGATATGTTTGCATTGATTAAACCTATTGCATATCCAGTTTTTAGTTCCAAAATTAGAATTTACAAAAGGATTAATAAGATACGTTTCATAACACAACAGTTTTCTAACTTCGGCGAGATAACCACACGCAGGGATAACATTTTTTATCGTAATTGGAGGTTGGAAGCTCTAGATGAAATCTAGCTCATAAGGAACATATCGTATTTTAATCCTAAGATTGCTGGATAAAAAGTATCCACATATCTACGCGATAACCACATCCTCTGTACTGATATCCATGTGCACACAAAAAAGATACCTGGACATCGTGCAGTAGAAAAAGCTAGAATTTTCATCGACCTTCATAAAATGAGGCAACTCAGAGTACAAGTATCGTAATCGGGATCAATCAATAATTCTTCATATCATACTAAATCCTCAACCAATAATTCTTCATATCATACAGTAGTCATCGTCAACAATAATACTACATATTTTACTAAATCCTCAACCAATAATTCTCCATATCATACTAAATCCTCAACCAATAATTTTTCATATCATACTCAGACTCAACTAATAATTCTTCATATCATACTCAGCCTCAACCAATAATTCTTCATATCATACTCAGCCTCAACCAATAATTCTTCATATCATACTCAGCCTCAACCAATAATTCTTCATATCATACTCAGCCTCGACCAATAATTCTTCATATCACGGACAGATTCTAACAATAAGTTTTAACACCCTGGAGATCATAGTTGAGCATGAAAATCATGGCAAGCAGCACCAGGATCATTTAAAATCACATGACACTCAAAACTTGCTAAGGAAATTGCCCGACGGTCATGTTTGATGATTTTTAATATTTCTCTAACAATTTGATTAAAGCTTTTTTCAACACTAGAGATGAAAAACAAAGAATCGTCTAATTTTCTCATTTCCAAATGCCCTTCCATCTAATTAGAACAGGATGTAGTTCCTGTATGGGAAAACTTTCCGCGAATTTGATTGGATGACCAAATTAAGACAAGTGATTGGCTAATCATGTTGGGGYTCAAATAAACGCAAATATGAAAGTCAAAGAGAAGATAATCGAACAAAAACTACTCACTTCACTGCCAGGAAAATAAATTTGGTTATTTAAAATCCTACTRCATTTTCAAAACATTTCAGCAGCAACAATTGTGTTTCAATCGACATCCAGGTGACATACGATTGATATTCAGCAAGGAATACTTTGCATGTTGATCTATTTTGAATCAAAGCTGTTAAGGTATGATGACTGARTCCTTATTGATGGCAGGACTTCCTTGAAAACGAGTTAAACAAGCACAGTGAGGTAAGAGCGAGGTAAAATATCAATGATTACAATGTAATCCATGTGATAATAATCTTTTTTTTATATTTTTTCATAATTTTGACAAACATATACTGAGACAGAGGTTTCGGTTCTCTTCTAAGATTGAGGTTCAATAATAATTTCGACTTTTTTAACGGATAAACCAACGCACAYATGGCGTAGAAGTTAAAGACCCWTATGACATTATGACATGGTATATTTCTTTGTAAGCCCGCAGCAATTAATCTGTGGTAATTCACCAACCTTAGTTATGATTCTCAACACTACTGTCAATAATTCAGRAAGAACATTTCTTAAAACGACGTCGATGTTTGGCGTTTGCATTCACAAGAGAGCAAATTATTTGTACAGGTTTTCCTGGTTAAATCCACCAAGTTCACCACTTAATCCGCGCGTCTTAGAAAGATCATCAATTTCCAATATTACAAAAATGTCATGAAACATCTTTGATTGTTTTTTTTTTATTTGAAATTGACATCCCCAAAAGCCTTGTAGAAAGGAAAGACGTAATCAATTGATGTCGGTTGAGAACTTTGTTGACGCCACCTGGACAGTTTCTGGTTAGAAAACAATGAAGTAGTACTTGAAAAATGTATTCGGTTTCTTTTCTGATCTGCGTTCCTCTTCTTTTTCCAAATTTCCTCTCATTTCATTCTGTCAGTCTATATTGTTTTCTTTTCTTCTACATTTCCTTTGKTTGCCTGCTAAAATAAGACTTTTTTGCATTGTTCTACTTTCTGCATTTGCGTTSGATTAGACCAGACGCTAGTGTGGGYATACTTCATGGCATAACGTCGCATAACTTTCATGACATACACTACCTKTACGTGATGATATTCGCGTTGGTCGAATRCCCTTCGAAATAKTTTTCAGATTATTCAACCAAAGAAACACCAAATTAAYATCTCATTGTTTATCTTTATACATTTTAGTTTTGATTTAGAGAAGTTTGTTTTCATTAATTCAATTTTCTTGCAAAAATCAGTGGTAATGATGTTGATTATTCSCGTTTAGCGAGTCAAATGTGATTATGTTATGTACACTACGTAACAGCTATCATTGGTACTGATATTTCCTATATTAAAACCCTTTTAACTATTTGTATACTCGGTGGAAATCCCTTTCATTCTCACTGTAAATCAATTTAAAAACTTCCTTGACGTAAAACCTAGTCCAGTCACAATGTATGCTTAACAAAACCTTAGACTGACTTATAGTTGCTGTGATTTATAACTTTTAACCCATTTCCTTGGCCATATTTTTAAAAGGAGTACTTTTAACCCTTTTTATGTCATCCTCTCATCCTAATGTCTCGATAATGTCAGCTTTTAAATACTTGAACCAACAACTGAATAAGATATGCACCTCGATAATTAAAAACTAATATAACCTCCATACTTAATGTCTWTATTCCGAGTCACACACTGACAAAAAAAACCCCTAGAAAATACAAGCTGTACGTATTCTAAGCAAAGGTCACACCTCGGACAATTGAAATATTAGAGGGTAGCATACTGGTGGAGAAAAGAATTTTAGTCTCTTTAATTATTAAAAACATGTATTTCATGCCATATATTATTGATWAAGAACCACTAAATGATTGAGTTTTCTATGTTAATGAAAAAGGTTTTTTTGAGTAGGTTGGTTATCACTCAATCACTTCTTACTATCTATTTAGGAATACTTTGATTAATGTCGCGTTGGTCAACAAAACTAAAGAAACTAAAAATTGAAGCGTTAAAGCAATTGAATTTATATTTAGATGAATACAACAGAATCGTGAGGAATTGCTGGAAAATCGGAATTCTGAAAAGCATTAAACTTGCAATATTTTTTTCATTGCAAAAACGAGAGACAATTTTATCAGTTGCCTTGGTGATTTGGTGCCCCTGACGAGCATTTAGCAAATCCACTTGGATTTATCTTAATAAACTGGACTTAATCACTGGATTTGAATCGTACAAAATAATATCCCCTCATCTCCCCTCATCGTTCCCTTTAATAAGATACGTTGCTCAAGTGTCGATTCGACTTGCGTTACTCGTACAGATTTGTTTAAACTTTTATTCACGTGYTTGTCATTTTGATAACGATAATTGCGCAGCCTTAACCAAGTATATCACATCATTTAGCTCGAGGATCAAGCCAAGGGCAGGTGCACTACAAAAGTGTTTTAATATTTCAATTTACGAGAAAACATTTATTCCCTGGCGTTCAGCAAATCAACTGATCACCATCCTTTGAATTGATTGATTTTTTTTCTCAATTAATAGTCAATGTATTTCACGAAAACATGGATACCACTGAGATATGACTTGATATGATAGCCTGGAAATCGGTTCTCTCGATGACCCATTGTTCGCTGTGGTTTTATACATCTGTAGTTTAAAAAACATTGCACCATCATTCCTGAGGTTAGAAAACTAAAATAACTTATCAACACAAACTGAGAAGTTTTCAGCTTATTGAAGAAAACGCCGTCTTCATCAGTCAACATGGTGTTTTGAGATTTACGGGGTTTGTGGTGAGTAGCATTTGGCACTGATTCAGTTGCTGTAAGTGACGTTTGCTTTTTCGCTCGTGTCAAGTTTTCTCATGCCAATTTCAGTACATTTGCAATGTTTTCATAGAGGGATGTGCCGKTTGGTTAARCTACCGTTYTGCAGTGGTTATTGAGGTAACGGAAGCATATTTATCATAACATGCTTTTTTTGATAGTTCAGTTTAGAATCATCAGTCGTATACTATGTATATGTCATTAGGGTTGCCGCAACCACCATACTAGTGGTAATGCATTGGGCAGAGATGATTGAATGAGAACGATCATAACGCGAAATCGGTTTTTAGTTTTTTATTGTTCTAAATCTTACTTGTTCTGAATCTTACATGAGAAAAATACGATGAAAATTACTCCGATCGAAGTTAGCTTGCAACGCATTGTGAAGTTCGACGTTAAGGAAAAAAAAACTCATCTCCTTTTTAAGTACACAAGGAAACAAATTAGATATATTCGGTTGTTTTAAATAGCTTCTTTCCTAAGTGATTTAAGTAAACGGATGTAACATTTCACACAATTCATATGAATATATTGAGCCATTATAGAGTAAGTTTGGTTTGAATACATCATATATATATGTCGTATGGAATTACGTGGATTAGTAGGGACCTCGCATGGAGGTTTCTTATAAAATGTTTCTAAGCATCTGGCTAAACGTTTGGCCATAAACAATAAAAATCATTTCGCAAACGTTATAAACCTCTTATGATATATCCACTTTAATCTACATTACTTGATCATAACACCAATACCCTAAAACACGGTCCTCGCTATTATCAGTAATGACAGAATTGCAATATCTAATACATTCATCGTGCAATATATGTTATTTACATTATACCGCTTGCTATTGAAAACCTGGCTTAAGTTTTACACGACAGCTGTCCAATATCATATAAAAAACTTTCACTTTATGAATTTGTGGAAAAGGAAGCGTCCTTAGCATGTTTTGTAAACTTCTCGATTTCCCTTTCGTGCGTTGCACAATCTTTCCCAAGGGCGTAAATTAATTCATCAATTCTCAAAGGTTTGCCTTCATTGTATYATAAACTAGATCAAAACAGTTTTCATAAAAGCAGATGTTTAGTTCGCAAATTGAAGTACAGTATGTAATGTTTAGTTTGTTAGGTAAATAACAAATGTGTTGACAGAGTGAATAACTTAGAAAGAAWATATAGTGATCTAAAAAAATTATTAACCATAAAAAAAATCAGCTTGCTGACGCGCAGTAAGTTAGCTATACATATAAAGATATTGTTATCATAATTGCTTGTGATGTTACTTTAACTTGGTTTGTGATCTTAATATATGAGTAGGAATCCTTTAACTTAGATCTCCAAAGAAACGAAATCACAGTTCAACTGTCTTGAGTTTTTTGGTTAGTGTAGGCGTCTTGACTAAGATTTATTAAAAACAATCTAATTATATAGCCAGTGGATAGATTAAAACGAATAGATAGATAACGGATAGATTAATCGAGAAATTTTATGATAAATGGAGAAAAATGCCCTAGAAATTAAGATACTTGACAAGAATATATATATATATTCAAGATGGCGGTCGATTAGCTCGCTTCTCATGGTGGTAGTCCCGAGAGATAAAAACATGGAAACGAACAGTTTTCAATAAAAAACTTTGAGTAATATTTACTTTTAATCAAAACTAGCGGCAATGTGATATGGAGGTTGAAATTAGWCAAGCGATTTTTAGAAGTTTTAGACGTTGAGGAACATGTATAGATGCAAACAAGTGTACGTGAGAGTCATAGTTTCTCTTTCATGAAAATGTTTTACATACGCGGGGAAATAAATTTGATCCTATCTAAATAAACATGTGTAAAGCACCATGATATCTCAACCTAAAACGTAAAAGCCGAAAGCAAGTACTTGATAAGTTGCCTTCGGCAAAATAAACATCAAGAAGACATACACCTCCAGTTGCTCAGATACACACGCCCAAAATTCTAGAAAAACAGTCGAATCTCAATGTTTTGAAAATATCATTTGTAGTGTTCAATTGATATCCAATGTGCATCTCTAACTACAGAGGAACTTAAAAGGAAAGGTATCATAAAAAGTTCAATAATTGAATTTTGAAGACCTGCAGCTATTATTTGCAATGGCTTAGATAGCATCAAGGCCGGCTCTGATGATATGGATCATAGAGGAACTCTGAYAGCCTTTGTAAGGTACGTAAGCTCATTTATTTTCACTACTAACGTTAGCGCAAAGATACCGACGAATAATTGACAATAAACCAGAATAGAACCAAGTCCAATGAGTGCTGTCATCATGATAGTAGTAGAAATCTAATACTTGTGTGCCAATTCTCATCATGACAAAATTAAGTTTAAGTTTCTCTGTGACAGGGGAAATACAATATTTATTACCTAACCTTGTTTATAGCATAACTGATTACAACCAGCATCTATTCATAGGATGTTGTACCTATTTTCATGATACACGCTCCATTATCTTATAGTTGTAGCGATATCTACAAAGACTACCCGTGAGGAAACGTACTGGGAGATCATGATGATTAAAATTAACATAAAAGTCTATGAGGTCTTCCCGTTAAAATAGCTATTTAACTAAGTGCTGTTCTAACAAATTCTATTCTGTTCCAATGTTCCTTAAATTAGTGTGTACAACGTTAAAAACGCGTACGGTGGATACTATACGCTCGAAAGGAACTATGGGTACTTGATATCGATTCAATAAGTATCTAGGTGATATAGAAGTCTTTGTTAAGGAATCATTATTTATAAATATGCGCTCAATTATACTACAACAATATTACTGATAGCTATCATCTATCAAAATGCGGATAACTGTGGTTCCTTTTTGTGCAATTGTGCAATCTCCCAGTTGACATTTTACATTCGACGCCAATCAATGCTACCGAAGACCTGCTCGGTTTTTGGAAATGCTGCGTCGTTGGTTTCAATGAAAGACTGATATCGCTATATATATACTCTGCGTGTATTATAGTGTAAAAAGAAAAGGTCGTGTCACAATTCTAAGAGAAAGAAGAGGTGAGAGGAAGAMGATATCAATCATATTGACATCTAATGTTGTCATGGTAGTAAAACGCTTTGACCTACTTTGATCTTGTAGGCATATACTATATACATGACTTGCTTTCGGTCACTTGATTGATAGCGTTATCGTGTTCACACAAAGAACTGCTTTTAACTGAGAAATCCTCCTTCAGTGTGCACGCAATAAAGGTAAGATCGATTGTACAATCCTATAAAAGATTTTACTTCGAAAAGAACATGAATTCTGAATAGTTTTTCTTCACCGTACGACTCATGAAGATTAGATTCAAAATCGCAGTACTAGGACAAACCTAACCCTATTCCTTTCGTCTTTGGAAGGGCGTTTTGAGAACATTATAAGCTCATATAAGTCTAAAAATCAACTCTRCGACAGAAACTAATGTAAAAACAACATCAAAGTAAGGATAGCATTTTTCATACATACTCTATTTTCTAGACTAGTTTCAAGGTACGATTTGCGAGATRATACTGGCTTTTGTGATGTTTCAGTACATAAATCCTAGTATTTGTGTTCAAGGAAGTCGCTTCCATTGTCAGAGTTTGTCATATCGACTTGCTCTCTGCCGCCGTTGAGAGCAGATATTTCTCATGCAGTATATAACTGTGATCCAACGTAAGCCCCATCACTCACGACAACTAAGGTCACGGAGACTCGCATTGACCACGGTACCAGTCGACAATAATTTCGACGATTGATCGATAAGATCCGATATCAGTCGATCAAAATCGAAGCTAATCGATTGATCAGTCAATAACATCGATCAAAATCGTTATCCCAGTTGGGTGTGAYTATCGATTTCAGCTAAAACAGACGACGCCGAGAGTCTCCCATAAATAGATACAAACGACACTTATTAACCTGAATTTTATTGTGATTATACACTATTTGAGGTGATATTGCTGAGAGAGTCATCGACAAGAAAAAAAACTTTTCATTTCTTGTTAATCTTACAAGTTTATATCAATTTTATCATGAATACATTAAGAAAATAAATATTTTACTGGTTTTTGTTTTGAGTTAATTTTGAACGTTCTTATTGTCAGATGAAAAACAGATAAGCAATATAAAAGAAAAAGAAAAAAAAGATAACGTTAACGAAAAAAGCAATTGATTTGGATTAGGATTGATCGCACCTCCGTCGGATTCAAAAGCAGGCGCCTTAACGGCGTGCGCCACTGGACCACGCTCATTTACATAATAATAGACCACTTGACACTTTCACCGAATAGACTACYCCAATTTGACATYATACTTTCGATWGTTRCSTRGTTAGTGCAAGGGGTTATCCATCAGWGTCTAGGGGCCGGATAGCTTCTCCCTCACTGGCTTTTTAGTTAGCGCGAAGTTAGGAYCAATTATCGGGATAGCATGGAAGAGCCGAAATCTCTAACCGGAATGTAAATCGATTCGACGCCTCAGCTTCACAGAATGTCTCGGGGGAATCGTCCCAAACTTTTTCAATTTGTTTGCCATGGGTTCGAGTCCCATTGCGGTATTTTCTTCTTTTTTTTTTTTTTGTTATTTTGATTTTTTTTCTTAGTTTTCTATTCTTTTTAAGGTTTTAAAAGTGAAAACTCCTCCAAAAATACTGATGACAAATCAATCAGTTTCCTTGACATAAAAAGGTTTCGGTTCTCTCTGTTTTCCTAGGGTTTTCAATTTTCTACTTAAATAACAATGCTGCAGTTTTTGACTTTTATAAATTATCCATTTACTGTTATCTGCAGGGAGTGGTACTGTTACGTACACAGATATATATCATATCACTGATTTTGATACTAACAGTATATACATCATGTCGGTTACGACCTTCATTTTCATTCTCAACCTCCTTTCACCTGCTCAATAATATTTCTACTTCTGCTCTGTTTACTTCTGTCATTCAGTTTTGTTTTTGACGTKTTTTTGCTATGACGTCTCATCCTGCTATATWTACTTRTTTGCATCTGCTCTYTTCAAATATTGAATTGGATTCATTTTCTTCGGCTTTGCGGTTCCTTTTATGTCCCTTTTCCATACTTCCCGCATTGTTCAGTTGTCGGTTTTGTTTTTGCAATCTTTGTTCAATGTCCACTCGTTATGGACGAATTTGAATTGTTTACAACAGTTTATTTATCGCAATCTGTTACCATCTTGTAGCAGGTTAGACACGCGCATTTCAAGATAATAATAAAAATTAACCTACTTAACCAACCAGTCTTCACCTCCTCGTGAGACGGACTAGAAACWCTGTCAACTAACAAATTGAATCAACCTAAACATAGTAATTATTTATATTTCTATGACTGGTTCCGGCAGAACAATTGCCGCAGAGGTCTTACGTCAAACAAAGTAATGCTGTTCGCTGTTATTTACTGTACTTGGACCTTGAAGATGAATTTGTGTAAATGGTAAGTTCAGCATTTTTCYAGTCGCTGTTTTTCGAAAATGGGTCAAAAACCTGGGCCAAAATCTATTTTACTTTTGACCAGACTTTGCACGTTGATTACGAGTTTCTTCAAGTGTCTCATCCTTTCAAGTAAGTTATATAACGCATGTAGATAACTCGACTTAAGCTAAATTCATTCGAAGGTTCTTTATTCATTTCTTGAAAAACTAGAGAAAAACAAAAATACGCAATGAACGATGACTCGACCCAATATCTTTTGGTTGAAATGGACAGAMAATGTTGCACTAGGATAAARCAACTTCAGAAATATMTCGATAAAAGAAGTTATAAGAACACGGGATACAAGCTAAACAAATGCATGTTATCGAATCCAAAGTAAATAAAAGATCGCTCATTTTTATTGTAATGAAAATAAGTTGAAGGCAAATGGAAAAAAGAGCGATTTCTCTCTTTTTCCGTTTCTTTTCTTACTGAAATATATGAAATGTCCATGAAAGTGTCCATATTACAAAGTTTATTAATGTACAATTGATAATTAATGAACAAACACATTGTTATCCCAGTTGGTTTTTATCAACGTTGTGATAATAAATTCTAAATGTCGCTGACAACGTTGCAGAGTTTTTTACCTGACGTCGAAGYACGTTAAAAAAAGGACGATCGACGAAAGAAAATAGTGAAATTGAAATGAAATMTAGATTTTACATTTGATATAGTAATACACCACAAGTTATAAGGAAAAAAAGGCAAATGACGGAAGTCATACCTGACACATATTCTAGATGACATCAATATTTAACTCGTGATATTGACAATTGTCGTAAAAAATTAAAAGCACGATGACTTCCTTGTTGTCGAAACGTCTTTTCATTTCTCCTTATTGCACGACCGCTAACGATTCTTCGTAATTCATGATTTTTGTTCTAATTTCAGCTGTTTACTTCAATACAATAGTAGCTAGGATTGAATAAGAATTTAAAATGCATTCCTTGTAGGTGAGTCTATGCTATAAGTTCCATCTCTTTACTCCGACGAAGGATTAACGTCCGAAACGTAAAGGTAATTTCACCTTTTTTTAAAGTGTTGAATTTAGTTTTATTTAAAAAACTGTTTCTTTAGAAACACCGACGCAGCTCACACTAGTTTAYCRCTCGTTCCCACCATCGAGTCTACACTATGTCAAGTGTCTTAAATTTACAAAGATTGCTATTCTGCTCAAGTATAATATATATACCACCTGTTAGAGGGTGCCTTTTATTAGCTATCACTTCCGGATAGAATGAACGATTGATGGCAAATAATATTCATTACCCATRGCTCCTTTCGGTCTATRCAACCGACTGGACCATTTCACAGACAACCTTTCTTAAAACGCCTGTGTATGTATAAACATTTAAGAAATATAGACTGCACTTGCTAATTCATAGTGATTGGTAAAACTGTTAAAACTKCATGGCACAAGTACAAAGAATCCATCTAAAACACAAGAGATAGCTATGAGGACTTCAATAACATCATATACAATTATCTATAAAATACAGCTATATTTCATTACGTAAACTTGATTAGTGAAAATAACACATTCGCGGTTTCTCTATATAGTGGAAGTAAAAACCAAGGTATTTTACGACATAATTTGCTTTTATATGTAATTATATGATAAACAGAATATTGCATGATTGCTTGGAGATACGCCGTATTGAATTATATCTTCTCGTTTTGAGATCTTTTCAACACTCGAAGATAAAACCCGCGCGCCCATGTAATATCTTGTATTTATCTCACGGCAGAGGTTATTGAAGGATATAGTACGAGCACAAGTTGATTATTGGCCAATATACTTGGTGGAGACACGATGACGTCATATGCTACCTACTACCAAAATGCCTTGCCTACTTTCTTTTGGAAWATAATCAGTCAAAATTATTTCCAAAAAAATCCGAATAACAATCATGAAAAATATAGGTAGAGAATTCTTATAGGTAAAATGACGTATAATGCATATCGCGCATTACGAGAGGATTATTACTCACATTTTCAATGCTGATGACACAATTCAATCTAGACCTAACCTGAGTATATATATATATCAGGCCTTCGAGGGGGCCTGGGGAGATGTGAAGGAGGGGAACCTGGGTTGAGAAGGGAGGGGCAAATAGAAACCAAAAAGTTCGCGTTTCACCCAATTCCCGTGATGATAAAGATAAATTAAAATTATGCCATGTTTTGATTCTTTAACACTAACACTGACAGTGATAATGATTGATGATAAATCTGATAGCCATAATGATTATGATGAATATTACACAATCAGCTACAGACCATAAGTTATTACTTTTTGATTGCTTAGATGCGAATTGATCTATACATGTGATTTGYAAGAATACTACCACCAATTGTTTGCTTCTTTCAACTGCGGCGATGAAACGAAAAATACCCAGGACTATACTTTAATTAAAACTTTACGTCAAAAGCTATGATACACCTGCTGACATTGATGACCGTCGCTCGTGGCGACAAAGAGTGTTGATTTTAGATAATGAAAGTTATTATGAAACTGAGGGGTAGGAATCAACGTTCAAGATTGGCAATTGTGGCCGATTTGAGGACATTATGTGAGTGATAGATGAGCAAATGCATCAACGAATCAATATGATTTCCAACATAAGCCTTAGATTAATTGATAATCAAGCGAATATCATCTAATTTATCGAATAATAAAAAACGTCGAAGTCCCTTATCATAACAGATCAAGTCGGGTAAAATAAAATTTTGATATGATCTCTAACAGTTCTTCACAGGGACATGTGTTATAAGGAACGACAGAAAATTGGCGCCAAAACTGGACTGCTGTGAGAATTTTTTCAACCACGCGACCAGTGCATGGAAAAMTTGTTTTGAAAGCACTGTAGATAGAATCCGTGAAACTATGACTAATTTCAATGATACAGGTGCTTGCATCAAARCAAACAAGCAAATCGAGTGAAGTTTGTTGGCTTCACGTCATAGTGGTACCATGAATGACAGATTAGAAATTATTTGTATTATTCTATACCGCTATTAAATGTAGGTACAATTGCTGTCAATCAATGATACGATGAGGGAGGGGCCACGAAAGCGAAATAATACAGCAAACAAGAAACTTCTCTCATTACATAAGCTGACTGTCGATCGTGATCTCAGTTTCCTAAGCGAAGCAAACAGTMGTCAATACTTTTTCAACGAAAGTGAAGACACAAGTCAGTTTCATCGAAAGTACAACTTGACAAAGCATTTTTTAAGTGCATTTGAAATTTATCAATACACGGAAGATCGAAATAAGTTTAATTGGCCACACAGTAAGGACTACTCGAAGCTATAATACTAGTGATTGCTATCTTTTCGAGAGTCATGGATGAGCCTTTCCGCTTGTTCGGACTTACTTTCATATCACTTTGCATAGCTGTTACACTTGCAGGCTCCTTGTTGATTTACCTGGCGTTTGCCAAGAAGTCCTCACTAAGGAATAACTCTAACGCTCTCTTCTTGAGCCTTGTAACAGCAGATCTTATAACCGCATTGACAGTGATGCCAGTAGAAGTAGTTAGTCTCTGGTATCATCCTAACTGGCCTTTAGGAACCACGATGTGTCGTCTTTGGAGCACTCTCTTTGTGTCTTTCGCATCATTGTCTGTAGTGACCTTAGCTATYATCAGCCTGGAACGTTTATTAGCGCTAAAACGACCTTTCCGTTACGACTGCTCAATCGTTTCACCAAAAGTAATTTTTGTCCTGTCTTTATTGTGGTTTTATGGATTARTGACCGGCGTTGGGAGTTTCTTCATATGGGACATTGATGATAACTCCATCATATGTARAAACCTGTCTGTAGGWTTGGAGTATGGGATTCCTCTACTGCTCATCAACGTCCTTCTTCCTTACGGTACATGCATTGTTACATACAGGCTGATCTTTCGCATATCACGCGGCCACGTCAAAAATATCACTTCATTCCAGGAGAACAGTAACAACGGACGACGAAAGAACGTAGTCTCYTTCCTCTTGACTAGAAAGAGTACTATCACTCTAGGTCTTCTTGTAGGATCTTTCACTATCTGTTGYTTGCCGTTTTTCATTTTCCACGTGGTTGATGGAGTTATGGACGAGAATCTGCCGCATCGCTATCATAGCGAGAATATCATGAAATGGTTGGTGTTTTTGAGTGGCTCAACAAACTGGGCTCTTTATGGGCTTTTAAACAGAAACTTTCGCCATTCCATGTTGAAGATTTTGAGAAGATTTAAAGTAAAGAACAACAGTGTTACTACAGTGAAATCRTTTACAGCGAAATAGATTTTTCCTTTCTTATTTGCGCTTTTGGACTGATCAGTCCATAGGATGCAATCAAAAGGAACTCGCATGAGCTGTTATTGCAGGAGTTCGCCGTCTTTTGGAGCAAAATATAAGATACTTTATTGTTATTTTGTAATTTATTTGTTTGGAATGAACCAAAAAGGTGCCAAAAATGCTATGATCGTTCAAATAAAGGCAAAACTGAAAGCATGGAGCTTTGAAACATGGTTCATTTTAGCGAGAAACTCCACCGCTCCACTAAAACCTGAAAAAGTTATTGGATCGCAACCTGTCGTGAAAATGAATTATTAAAACTATTTAAAATCATAATTAATTTTTAACCACACTTATAGATTCATTAAGATTTACTTCAAAAAGGTTATTCAGAATCTGCTAGAATCAATAACGAAGCTTCTGTGTTTGTTTTTAATCAACCAAGGTTTTTTTAAAGTCATTAACATAAAATTAATAATCTTTTTGAATTCTAACATTTGAGGTGCCTAACTCTGGTGAATCTGTGGGATGCCGAACCGATCAAAAATTAATTACAATCAGTCCAATAAATTGTCTAATCGTCTATTCAATAGCAAAACAAATGACTTTGATGAAAGATTAGTAACCAAACAAATCGCAAATGACTATATTGATATTAGTGAAAATTGGAAAAACAACTCGTCTGAGGAAAAAAAAACTTTTTGGCCTCTTGTTGGTGCGCAGAAATCGACAATAAATATCGCTACATGTGTTTTCCATCTTTTTAATGACGATCAGTGAAAAATACGCCCATGAATAGAATACATCCTGTTACAGTTTCCCTGGGGTTTGAAAATTTTCTTTTAACCTTGAAACTCAATGTCCACTCAGCATGTAATTACATTTCTTAAATGACAGAAGTACTTTGAACAACACGTTCGTACTAAATAAATTGTACACTAAGGATACTGATGAAATGACTGATGATTTCGTATAGTTATTAAGTAGTGTCATACAACCTGCCAGGATGCAATAATCGACTAGCGAGGCTGWGATCCTAGTGTTTTAATTAAGAATAGGAACTCCAGGCTTGCTGTGATTATGATGAGTTCTTGATTATGACTACAAGGCTAGTCTACTCWATTCCCGCATCACATCACAGTCATAACTTGAACTGTAATATTGTTATATTGTGGTGGGTGGTAATGTGAGACTATCGTCAACTGAGAATTCACGAAACTCTACGTAAATCGGATCGACATAATTATTATTAATATAGGAATGACTAATGGAGTAGTTGATAGATTGTTGTGTGATACTGTCAATCAAGCTGACTGATGGTTAATATATCTCGATTGTCAGTTTGGTCGGTCGGACGGTCCGTACCTTTGGTTTATTAGTTGGTTGGTTGGTTGGTCGGTCGGTCGTTCAGTCCGTACCTTTGGTTTATTAGTTGGTTAGTTGGTCGGTCGTTCAGTCCGTACCTTTGGTTGGTTGGTTGGTCGGTCGGTCGTTCAGTCCGTACCTTTGGTTTATTAGTTGGTTAGTTGGTCGGTCGTTCAGTCCGTACCTTTGGTTGGTTGGTTGGTCGGTCGGTCGTTCAGTCCGTACCTTTGGTTTATTAGTTGGTTAGTTGGTTGGTCGGTCGGACGTTCCGTACCTTTGGTTGGTTGGTTGGTTAGTTGGTCGGTCGGTCGGACGGTCAGTCCGTACCTTTGGTTGGTTGGTTGTTTAGTTGGTCGGTCGGTCGGACGTTCCGTACCTTTGGTTGGTTGGTTGATTAGTTTGTTGGTCGGTTGGTTGGTTAGTTGGTCGGTCGGTCGGTCCGTACCGTTGGTTGGTTGTTCGGTAGGTCCGTTGCGTTGTTTTTGTCGTTTGGTTGTTTGGTCGGTTAGCACTATTGGATMGTTGGTTGTCCGTCTARTTGGTTGATGGACATGTCTTTTCCTATATTTTCCATATGACTAATCAACCTTCATTTTTTCATTTTTCTTTTACAGTCACTTCAAGACACCATATCATGAATAATTCTTCCTTTGTCCAGCAAGAGCCAGAAAAGCAAGTCCCCTTTGAGGTRCTTGCCGTTGTTCTCGTCATCTTGTCMATCGGAACCATATTAGGAAACGTCCTTGTATTGGCTGCAATATGGACCCAGTCCTCTCTACAACGTCCGACCTACATTCCTATAGGAAGCCTGGCACTAGCAGACCTCTTGGCAGGCATTTTTGCTATGCCAGCTTATCTAATCAAAAAGTCACCGATAGAACTCACAGGAGCCTKGGAGGGAGTGATCTGTGACGTTTTCMGGTTTTCTTATTTTACTTCCGGTTATGGRTCMATTGTAAGCCTAGCGGTAATAAGCGCAGAGCGCATGRTCGCTGTTAGACATCCGCTGAAGTATCATACTATAGTTTCAAGTGGACGTCTTCTTTTAGCGTTATTAGTAGCATGGGTTGACGTCATGGTTATATCTTTATTACCATTTATCCCCTTTGGGGRTGGGGGTAGTGACGATGTTTGTCACTATCGTCCGACTAGCTGGTGGAGTATCATGGTGATTGTGACAAACGTCTTCGTTCCTTTTCTTTTCATAACAATCTGCTATATCGATATGTATGTCGCAGTACGCCGTGTCTTAAGGAAAATTGAGAACCAAAAAAACACCAAGCATAATGTAAAAAAACACAATCGAGACACTAAAGGCACCAAGACGGTAACCATCGTTATTGGACTCTTCGTTATCTCATGGTTTCCGTCATGTCTGTATTACTTTCTACGAGAAATATGTCCATCATGTTTCCCTGAAAAGTTTGTAGCTGAGGGCGTTTTTAATAGTCTTATGAAGATCATGACATTCACWGGSTCATTCTGGAATCCGCTGATATACTGCTGGCGCAGCTTGGAGTTCAGGGCAGCATTTCTACGAATCTTGACGAGGAAATCAATCGTGCTGGCAACAMGATCGCAAGCAGCGACAATATCACTTGGTGTTAATATGCACTGACGATGCATGTATACGAATCATAATCATCAATATTATTAATATGATTATTATTATGGTTATGAGGTGTAGGGTGGCGTAATATGTTCAAAATACATTGATATAGATAAATAAATCATAGATAAACAAGTTTGTCAAACAAAGTTATGTGTCTCATCATTAGTAGCTATGATATGACATTCTATACCACTCTATACCCCTCTATACCCCTCTATACCCCTCTGTACCACTCTATACCACTCTAT